CAGAGTCTTACTGCACCCCTAGCGGTATTGTCAATATTTTAGAGCTTTGAAGTTCTTTCTAGAAATATTTTCACTTCGGGACATATGGAGAATTATGAAGTTTAATAGGTGTCAGAAAATTTACAAATATTTAAAATATGTCGAGGGATTAAAATACATCCTTTATCATAATGGCGTTTTATTTTGTTCTCTTTGTAAATGTTACCCTAAGGAATTCCTGCTCTGCACATTCCAATTCACTTGTATTAATATTATTCATACTCAGTGGCAGTATTTTAAATCTATAAAATGACCTTTAAAATAATGAAAAAGATTACTGTTAGTTCTGACACCATAAGATGTGGCAATGTCACTGTGACTTAGCAGACCATGATTTTATTAAATAATCTAACTTTAGTGGTCTCAGGGTCATTGGAGGAAGCGATATCTAATGAAGGCATTAATATTTACTCCTACCCATCTTCCAGCTGAGATCCCATGGTGTGAGAGCACCAGGTTAATTGAGTTTTATCGCAAAATCTCTAGGCCACTTTAGAAATTACAGTAAGGCACATTCCCTAAGGTCTGATCTATATAAAGTGAGAAAATAGAAGGGGAAATGAGAAATGCCTAGCCAGGTTCCACTGACATTGCCAACATTGGTACTTATTAAAAGATTGGCCAACTGAGAAGTGATTTTCTCGGAAAAAATTAGGAGTCACCTTTTTTCTAATTCATTCTTAGAAAAACGAAGAGAAGAGCAGTCCTTGCTGTAACAGAAAAATCACAAGAATACACAAATGCTAATTTTTCTTTAATCCACAACCTCTGTATTTATCCTCTTTTTTTTCCGTAATGTACTTATATGAATGTAAATATAAGTATAGGGCAGGAAAGTGTAAGGGTCACTCTTTTACCTCTGTTACCCACTCTTTGAACTCTTCAGGGAAAAATGTAAATTAAAAGACAGTATTTATGCTCTTACCTTGTGAATTAATCTCAGCTGAAAGAGATAAATTGAGGACAGGCTATTCCTATCAGATAGTGGCACAGGCTAAGAGCAAACTACAGATAACAAACACAATGCAAAACTATCATTAATTTGACTCCCACTATCAATTAGAAATCATTCCAGTTCCATATATGACTTTGCTCTATTCCATGGTGATATAAAAAACGAGCTTGGATATCCCCATTCTACAGACACAGAAGCTGAGGAACAAGGCTATTCATACATGCTCACAGGCTCACAGCTACTGTGTTGTAGAGTTCAGATTTAATCCTGCCCTCCGTTTTTGAAGCCTGTGTTGAAAACAGACTTGTAGATCTCTTACCCAAAAGTCTCCATAGGTGAAATGAGCACCTGGAAACAGGAGAAGGCCACATGGCCCCAGATCCCAGAGAGTTCATCCTAGGAAGAGAGCTCTGACCTGAACAGTGTAGACACTAAAGCGCTCTCACCTCTCCTTCCCCCAGTGTGTGCAGTTCTGCTTTTATGTGTGTACAGAATGGCATTGTCTAAGGCATTTAGTAATACTTTTCCAATGCTGCTAGACTGTAAATCACATGAACGCAAGGAACATTTGCGGCTCACGACTATATTAATTAATTAATTAATTAATTAGTTCTAACAAATTTCAGAAATCCAGTAAAGACCATTTGAAAATTATCAGTACATGCTTAGGTCAGAAAATGTGTTTATTACTGTTAAAAGGAAGCAAACGTTGTGATTTCAAAGGATCCAACCCCAGCCCTTGCAAATACGACTCCAAAGTTTGATTTCACTAGATCTCTGAGATCTTGCAGCCAGAACTCAAACCCAATCGAGCCCCTGTTCTCTGAAATGAAAATTTAGATCTTTCCCCTGAAAAGCATTTTTCTATGGCTGCCAGCTGAATGAGAGGATTATGCAGCTGTGGCAGCAAGCCTGTAGATCTCTAAATCTGCTTTTCTTCCACTGCATTAAGAGCAGATGCATACTTGCCTTTCATTTCCACTAGATTAGAGCTTCGTGGAGGTTGGGGAGATAACTTTCTCGCTTTGGCACTTCCAGAATTTGGCATCTTTTCGGAGTGCTGCTTGCATGACTGCATGACCAGATTACAGTGAGAGCTTTGGGTTCACATTCATCAGTAAAACGGGAATCACAGCTGTAACAGATACAAGAGGCTGCATAGAGAGAGCAGCACCCTGGTGGGAAACACCCGGCCCCATCAGGGGTCAGGGGTCCGTTCATCTGTCTGTTAGTGGTATAAACCAATTGCTGCCCTTCTTGACAGTATTTGCCGTGTGCGTGCGTGCGTGCGTGCGTGTGTGTGTGTGCACGTGTGCGTGTGCGCGTGTGTCCACATAGAATTTACTACCGCAGTGATCAACAGTAGACTATGGAAGGGGTGGAGAACAAATAGGAACAAAACAATGATTTATGTTCCTGAAAACATCACAATAGAGCCGATTTCTTTGCATACATAACCAAAAATAAATGTTAAATACAGCTTTCTAATTCTCTACTAATTATACTTGCCTAGATTAAAACTCAAGCTCACATTTTTATATTTATTTCATATTTCAGTAGTATCTGGGATGTTTCTCTGTGTTATTACTTGTACACTGGCAAGGCAGAATGTTCAGACATAATGTGAAAGCTACTCTGGAATGAAGACACTCAGAAGTTAGGACATAAAGGAAAGTCCCTCATTCTCTTTCATTGCCTGACACACCTGGGTGCTACCTACAACTTACATTTGCTTTCTGGTTCTAAAGGAGATTTAATGTCTCTCCACCATCTCAAAGTACTCTTCTCAAGTACTTTGCTAAAAAGCAGCTATTTCCACATAAACTTGATCTGCCTTCTCAGGCTGTGGAACAGCAGGGGTAAAGGATGCAGATCTCTTCTCAGCTCCTGGTGGGCTAGAAAACAGAGCATGCTCATTTTTCTTGACTTTCAGAAAAATTATAATTTTACAGTAGAGAAATGTTAAACTTAATCTGATACTTTAGCAGCTAACATGTTATTTCTAAATCATGGAAATGTTTCTACATCCCAAAATATCTGTCTGAGGCAGTGAAGTGATTTTAAGTAATTTTAATTATGAGAAAGCTTACTGGTAGAGACCTGACTTTCATCTTATATTTAGTTAGCAGGCATTAACATAATATTATGTTAGGAACAATATTCTGATTCCTTGGTACTGGAGACGTGGATCAACAGCTGAGAACAATGGCTACTCTTTCAGAGGACCTTCATTCAATTTCCAGCAGCTTCTAACAGCTTACTACCATGTGTAACCCTGGCTCCAAGAGATCTGGTATTCTTTTCTGGCCTATATGGGGCACCAGGTGTGAATGTGGTGCACACACTTACATGCAGGCCAAACACCCATATGCATCAAATAAAACATTTTTTTAAATGTCTGCCATTTTTAGCAATTGTTCAGTTCAGTTTATATTGAGTTGCAAAAATTCAATGTCTATTTTCAACTTACTATATTTAGATTGTTTTACAAATTATGCACTAAAATTATTACTTACATTAATTATGCACTAAAATTATTATCTGTATTAGTGTTCTTTAGAGGAGCATAACTGATAGAATGAATATATATAAAGGGGATTTATTAGAATGAGTTATAGGCTGTGGTCAGGCTAGTCCAACAATGGAAGTCTAACAATGGAAAGTCCAAAAATATAGTAATTTTTCAGTTCATGAGGCTGGATGTCTCAGCTATTTTTCAGTATACACCAGAACCCCAAAGAAGTAGGCTCTAATGCCAATGAAGAACAGACTTGCCAGTGAGAGCAAGCAGACAAAGAGAGCAAGCTTCCTTCTTCCATACCCTTTATGCAGGCTGCCACCAGAAGGTATGGACCAGATTAGAGGTGGATCTTCCTACCTCAAAAGTAAGTCCATTATTATGGTCATGCATGTGGTGGCAGGCAGACAGTCATGATCCTGTAGAAATAGCTGAGAGCTACATCCTGCTCCATAGTCATCAGACAGAGACAGACTGGGCCTGTCATGGTTCTTTGAAACCTCAAAACCCACCCTAGTGGCACCTTTCCTCCAACAAGACCATGCCTCCTAATCCTTATAATCCTTTCAAACAGTTCTACTCCCTTGTGACCAAGTATTCAAAATGTGATCGTGTGGGGATCATTCTCAGTCACACCACCACGTTGTTTTCTGAGCATGTGATAGCTCTATCTATTTCAGATGCTATACACACTTTTTTTTCTTTTGTTAATACAGCACAGCTTAGGAATTTAAATAAAATATTTCTCAATAATGAACAAAAATGGGAGTTTCATAATATCATTTCTATTTGATGTTAACTTATAGAAATTATATAACAAAACATATAATGAATTCTATCACGATTCTTGCACATTTATTAGTTAATTGAGAACTTTTGGAGAAGCTAAGGTATAATTTTAGTGTAAGTAAGACGTGTGCCACAGTAGAAACTCCTGGTATGGTGTGATGCTTTCCAGCCAGTGAAGTTCCTGTCCCTGTGTATTTATCTTTGTAGCTGTAAAACATAAGCACGGATAATTTTCCCAATACAGTAATAAAGAAGGCACTGAATTACCCTACATGGAATGGATTAAAACAAACTTGAAGTACATCCAAATACTCCTGCAAAGACTGTATGTAAGGCTGGGTCTTTGAACATTGTCTTCCCCCCTCCACCTCTTCCCTTCTCTCCTCCCCTCCCTCCCTAGTCCCTGCATCCTTCCTTCCTCCCATCCCCCGTTTTCTTTCTTCTCTTGCTTTCCTTTCTCTATTTCTACTTCACATCTGTTCTTCACTCATAACGGGACATATTACAACCAGGAAGGTTTCATAAAATAGTCCCAAACCTAACATTTAGCCTTTAATGGTTTTTTTTTTCATTTTTAACTCTAGTTTGAATTAAATTGTAGCAGATTCCAACAATATACCCAAAAGAAACTATTTCCATAAGAAAAAGCATCAGTCAGGGGCCTTGGGTGTGACTCTGTGTGCCCTTTCCTTTTTGCAGAGAACTCTGAAACTCTTTCCAGTGTTCCAACTTCGTATGCTGCTTTGCTAAGAATTAAGAAGAGTTCAGCCTCATCTGCCTTTGGTTCCAAGACCAGACCACGGTACAGCAGTCCTTCCTTGGGAACCCTGAGTGTTTCTCCGCCGAGCTGGCGAGGGGCTCAGCTGCACCACTCCCCGGTCAACCTTTACCATTCCTCAGATGCCTTCAGACAAGATGGTAAGTGCAGAAAAAGTACAAAATAGTGTTAGTCAGGCAAGAAGCACATGATAAATGACTGTTAGGAAAGGTCTCAAGCCTGTTGCAGTGAGCAGAGGGTTGGGCTTTGCTGTGTTGCAGGGGAGATAGACTCAGCTTTGGGAAAGCAGGTGGAGTTCAGAGGAGTTTGTCCTCAGTGTGTCGAGAGCATCTGTGGGTGCTAAGTGGTGTAAATTGGAGAACTGGGAAGATGGACTTCTTGTTCCCTAATAGTCTGAATTTCAAATAGGTAGCTCTCTGAGTCTTACGCTGATTTCTATATGTAGAAATAACAGGAGGGTGGAAAATAATATATGTCTTACAGGAGCAGGCACTGAATTTACAAATGCAACTTTTTAAACTGCAATGTTGGAAGGCAAAGGGAAGTCTACAGTCTGTGGGACAGAAGAAAGGCCACTTGGTGGAAGAACCTGTCAAACTTTTGCCTTCTATTCTAATCATCTCTCAAGATTCTTGATAAAATTAATTGATAATTGTCCTGACTACCAACAGTTATTTAAAACTAAATTTCAGAATTATTAGTCTGAAAGTAAAAGCACATTTTTTTTGGAATGGCAATTTGTCAGTGAGTATCAGTAGCCCTACAACAGACATACTGGGTATTGGAGAGGTGGCTCAGTGGTTAAAAATGGGTAATGCTCTTACAGAGGACCTCAGTTCTGTTCTCAGAATGCACATCAAGCTGCTTATAATTGCTTGTAACACCAGCTTCAACCTCCAGTCCAGAGGAATGCAATGTCTCTGGGCACTCACACACATGTGCACAGACCCACACGAAGACATACATATATTCATAATTTAAAATACAGTACATCTTCAAATAAATGAAATAAACTTGTCAAGTATAGTGGTTTTATTTCTAGATTTTTCTTTAGTAAAACAGGGTTAAGTATAATGCATCACATATTCTAAGATTGTATGCTTATATTTAACTTTATTTTTAAATGATAAATAAATAACCCAGTTGTTACAGTAGAAACCAGTTAAATTAAGGACCACCCTACTGTTATTAACATTATGGACTGAAAAGCATTTGCTAGTTGTTCCCTAAATCTGTCATTATTAGCCACATTACAAAATGAGGTTAACTAGTGAGGGGGGATGGCTCCTGCCAGAGATGATTAGCAGACATAGTTCCATGATTTAAAAATAGCTTATCTCACTCAGTTTCTCCAAGAAATGTGTGGTGTGGATACTATTGACACCTTCTGTAGGAATGAAAACACAGGGGTGATGTGTATCTCTCTCAGAATCCCCTTACTGGGCTCTATGCACAGCTTTCCTTTGTACCTTTATGGTTTTTAAGAGCAATACTGAATGGCATTCAGTACATTCATTATTGACTGAGGTATTTGAAGACACACTTTCCAAAAACTTTATGTCAAAGATTAAACTATCAACTTAGGCTGTGTTGCCATGTATAAGCAAAGTCATTATTCATAATTATAAAAATCATTCCTCTGTAAGGCAATCACACCATGATGCCAGTCTTTATGGTTTATCCACACAGGGTGATTGGACTATAAATGTATGTTCAATGTCAAAATACTTGGCATGGGTTTTAAAAGTCCTATTGCATTATATTTAATTTCCTTTCTTAGTGTTTTTAAATCTGTACATGTATATAGTGCATTCTGATTGCTGTCCACCCTCACTGTCTCGAAACCACTCCCAAGCCCTTTAATCCCCATTTGCTTTATCACATTCATGTATTTTTGTTTTGTAATTGCTGAGTTTAACCAGTTGCCTGTGTGACTGTGGTTTTGGAACTCACCATTAAAGCCCACTGGGCTCATCAGTGGGTATGTCACTGGTGACAGTATCATAATCAGACAGATATATGTCAAGATTAATAATTTTGAGGGCATTGTTATGGGATTTTTTAGAAGGTATTGAGAATCCAGTAACACAAGCTTTGCATATTTGTCTTAATTTCCTATAAGCTTATAGATAGCTGGTATGTTCTCTTGCAGCTAATAGAAGTTAAGGTACCTCTCAAATATAAATGAAATATAGACAGAAAGTCTGAAATACAATAAATGCAAATTCCAAAATCAATATGCGTAAGGGCATAAGCTAGAGCCAGGCACCTTCAAAGTGTCTGTTGTAAACATCTCTCTTTGCAATATACATACATACATACACAGGGCTAACCTGTGAAGAGCAAGCACTTCCTTCTTCCATTTCCTTTTACGGGCTACCACGGGCTACCACGGGCTACCACGGGCTACCAACAGGTGTGGTGCAGATTTAAGGTGATCCATTCAAGAAAAATTCCTCACAGGTATACCCACCAGTTTGTGTTACAGTTAATTTAAGATGTAGTCATGTTGACCATCAATGTTCAAATGAAATAGCTTTACTCTTTCTGACAAAAGACACACTTCTGCATTGATCTCATTATGAGTTTCTTACTTTGTACAATGCCCTGTAGCTCAAACCTTACTACAAAAACATGATATTCATCCCATTCAACATTGGCTAATGAGACCCAAGTAAGGACAAAGTGATGTTTTGTATCTGCTCTCCTTAGTCTCAGTCACATACACACACCAATTGGGGATCTTGTTAAAGTACAGACTCATTTTCAGCACTCAAGCACAGGGTACAGCACTTCATTCACAAGAAGTTCCAATATTACTATCAATGGCTCTGTATTGTGGATTATGCTTTAAGTGAAAAACAAGTCTCTAGTCTGGGATCCAATCCAATCTAATTTAAATCTTCTTCCAATGTAGTTTAATCCACATTTCAGAATAACCAAGAGACAATTCCAAGGCCTTTCCCTGACTCTTGCTTTTCGCTCTGAGTATTTGACAGATCTCAGCTGGCTGGATGTGACTCTGAGCTCTTACTCCTGGAAAGGAGTCTGACATATGGCTCTTGTCAGGTCATTCCCTTTAACTTTGATAGAGAGTAAACCTGAGGTTGACATGCTCTTGTGAAAAATGAGAAAGGTAACAGAGCCTGAAAAGGAAGCCATTCTGATCCTGCCCAGAGTCAAGGCAGAAGGATGTGGCACAGTTTTTTTTTCCTGATAAATCTAAAATCCCAGTTTGCTCAAAAAAAAATGAAGAAACATTTTAACTCTGTAGTAAACATCCTGCTGAAACTCACACACAAACACAAGCAAATTTAGACTATGTTCATTGCAATATATGCATCATAACAGATACTGGAAAAATTGCAAACTTTTTCCCACCCCATGGAAAACTAAGACTACTAGAATGAATAATTTATCTTTATGTGATAGAATGGTTATACCTAAAAATATGATGGTGGTTATAAAGGAAGTGTGATGTCATCTCCTTAAAGTGATTGAAATGTGATGTGAGGGGCTGGAGAGACAGCTCAGATATGAAGAGCTCTGGCTGCTCTCCCAGAGGACCTGCAATTTTTTCCTAGCACCCATATCTAACATCTTACAAACACCTCTAACTCCAGCTCTAAGGGATCCCATGCCCTCCTCTGGACTCTGTGGGCACCTGCACATATATGGTATACATTCACACAGATATATTTACATAAATAAAAATAAAATTAAAAAATATATATGTGTGTGTGTGCGTGCGCGCGCGCGCGTGTGTGTGTGTGTGTGTGTACATATAGGACAGTAATTTATGTATATGGTTCAATTTTTAAAGCATGGCAGAAAAACTAGACTAAATACTTTCCACTCTGGATAAAGGGGGAAACAGGGAAGTGGTACCAGAAGAGAAATATAGGAGACTTTTTCTTAATGCTATTTTGCCTCTTAAAGATATATGTCTGCTGCAGTAGTTCAGTGGTCAATACCTGCCTAGCATGCAAGTCTCTGGGTGTCAACACTCTCGAAGCAGTAGCACATGAAAGAATGGAGCCAATCACAGGCAGACTAATGTCTCACGCAATGGCCCACTTTATTCACAGCCCCAGACAAATTATACCCTGGGGGTTAATAAGAATCACCTTGATAAAGCTTGCGCTCACAAGGGTAAGCTGCATGTGGGAGACAAGCCACACATGGCAAAAACACATTTTTAAAAGGCATATAAACAAATAACAATAGTCAGTTTAATATATAATCTGAAGTAAACTCACTCTTACTCACTACACCAAAAGCCCAGAGACACATTCCAAGAATAATTCCATGCTTTGAAGAAATTGGGGTCAAGAGATTCTTGTCTTGTTTTCCTGGAGTTTTCTCACAAGCACTCACACAACTCTATTCTTAGACAGTGTTCTGACCCCTGGTTCAATCCTCAGTGCCACAAGAGAATATAAACCAAATATGTAGATACCAATAGGCATCTAAAATGACCCACAGTCACTCCTCAGCCTCCTGTGTTTAACCTCTCCCCTGCTCCTGTGGCCCTGGCTGTGACCTGGCTTCTAGAAAGCTGTGACACAGTACAGAAGCTGACCGGAAACACCATACTACAAAAGACTCTGCTTCCTCTTTTCTTGTCTTTTTGTTGTTATTGTATTGTTCAAAGATGTCAGTCCATCCTCAGAGCTGCCCATCAGCTAAGACAATTAACAATGAGATTCAGCATCCAAGAATTTCCCAGGTACTCAATCCTGGGGACCATGATTTGAGAAGATTCACAAGTGCATCTATGCCCCTAGAGCATCAGGATCAGTCTCCTGTCCACCTTGTGAAAGGCAGAGAGTCTTAGGAGAACCAGATTAAACCTCCCGGTGTGGAAATAAACACTTCCCTTTCTCCACACTGTGGGGGTCATCCCACCCTGATCACACTTCTCTATTCTCTTCAGAGGATTATCCTCACACTTGCATACTGAAAAAATTTCATACATTTCATCTATTTTAATTTTCTGTGTCATCTTGTGATCATCCTACATCTGGGTACATTTTTTTTAGGCAGCCAATCCCTATAGTCAGCCAAGCGTTGTTTATTCAGAACTTAATTATGCATTCTTTTTGTTCTCCTTAATATTCTGTGCAAACCCCACTTTTTA